AATCCCATAAGGATGAAGCCCAATAGCAGTTCAGTCCCCCTGCCTAACCCTAACCCTAACCCTAACCCTGCCAAAACAGCCCCGTTCAGAGCGCTCGCTTTGGAGTGCCTGTCTCTTTAAATGCAAATGAGACACAGACAATCCACCCACTTCTTCCGGGAGGTGTGCCCACGTCGGCACGCTAACGCTACCATGCTAACGCTACCACGCTAACGCTACCACGCTAACGCTACCACGCTAACGCTACCACGCTAACGCTACCATGCTAACGCTACCACGCTAACGCTACCACGCTAATGCTACCACGCTCACGCTACCATGCTAACGCTCACGCTACCACGGCGTCTGCCACAGATAGGGGAGTAAGCTGAGGGGGGGGGCAACATGCAGGTGAAAGGCTGGAATATTATAATGAGCTAGAGCTAATGACGTCAGAAACTACCCACTCCTGAAACCTCCTGATTTATCTCCTGGATTCAGACTGAGGCAGCCCACAAAAACATGACCCAGTCATTTATTTTCACACTTTGCCTGCTGATAGGCCCTCCACAGTCCCAAATGTACATAATCAAATTATTAAAAACTTGGTTTTGCATAATATGTCCCCTTTAACAAAAAGACAAAAAACTGCTCATGTCTCTCTGAGTTCTCCAGCTTCGTCCGACCTTCCTAAATAAGGCATGCCAGTTTAGATTTTTCGGTCGGGCTTTTTAGGGGCCCTGCTATCGATCATCTGTCAGGAGACGACCGCCATACGTGGAGTGCTTGGCGGTTGGAAAATGTCAAATGTGACCTTTTTAAGAATGTCAGCGCTCGGTGTTTAATTGAGGCGGCGAATCGTTTGCGTGCAGAAACAGAAAGAGAGGCGGTTCCACAAGTCCTCTTGAAGGATTTTAGACTCCGGGTGCAGCGGGCTGTCATGTGTTTATGAGAGGCACGCAGAGAAAATCAATATCTCGGTTCAATTCTATGCTCTAAGCTCCCAAGAACAGAGACCTCGTTAGCCCGATTCTTTAGCTGGAAGCCTGGGAATAAACCAGAGCAGATCAAGAGTACAAATATGGCATTTATTGGTCACAAGCAAAGTAAATCAGCAGGGCTCTCACAGACAAAAGCTCCCGGAGGATCTCAGTTAGCAAAGATCCCCGATTTCCGGGTGTGATGGACAGTTTTCCTCTGGGCCTCCAACAGGAGGACGGCTGGGTGTAACCGAGTGTTATTGGCCAGTTAGCCCTATAATGCCAAATGTATCATATTTGATTCATACGGTTTTTGAAATGTTTTGCTTCTGACACATTTTGCTTAATTTAATGGTAAAAACTTTGCTCAAAATCCTATTGTACACAATCAGATACACCTGATAACAGGGGGCAGAAGACTACACAAAAAATAATCTTGACTTATCGCATAGTAATAAATTATTAATATTAAAAATGTATTTCTGTTTTTTCTTTTTACATATTTTGTTAAAAGGCCAGTAAAGACTTCAAACCAAAGAAAAGTAATTTTCTGTTTTGTTTTATTCTTGGATCAGGCTTTAAAGGGCTAACTCTGACTTGAACGGGCCAGGTCCTAATTCATGCAGGTTTTGGTGGAATGTGATAAGAAAGTGTGTTAATGTTGACCTTAAAGATGTCTATCTACTGTAACCAAGAGAGGAAGAGGAACCAGAGAGTTTAACCCAAAAGTATGATTCTAAAGGGAATAATAGGAATCTAAAAAATGAATAAGACAATCAGTCATTTACATGAATTAAGTAATAATATACTATGCTAAAGTGAGTAATTATAGCCCAATTCTAACAACATGATGGTAGGTGCATGCATGAACCCTTAAAGAAGGTGTCACCGTGCTATCGGCCTACAATGTTTTATTAGTGTCATAGCCTCGATGTTGCCCATGAACACAAACATGCACACACACACACACGCCCCAGCGGGGCTGTAAAATGCACACACACACACACACACTCTGCTAGCAGCCCAGTGCTAGCGCAGCGTGAGCCC